GAATCTTATCACAAATCTACTCGATGAAAAATCGCAACAACAGGTTTAAACAGTTGCAGTACAAAGAACCAATTCTTTTGTTAAGCACGGTGCCTGAAAGAACAGCTTCGTTTAGACTGGTTAACCTGGCGCTCATGCAGCGTGCTTAGTGTAAAATGTAATATCATGTTGATATCATGTTGAGTGATGTTCATATCTTACGAGTGCGCATTGTAAATGTTGTCAATAGCATACATATCTATATAACGAAAACAAATCAGACCAGTTTCGTCTAATCACCACGGCGATTATCTCCCTTACAGGAATTGTTTTTTATTGAGTATTATATTATTAACAGTGTGTTATTAAGGCTTTTGAGTGTGCAGAGGAAATGTTTTTTTGCAATTGTTTCTTCGCGACAACTGAGTGCATCTCGGGCGAAACAGGGAGATATTCTCCATGTTACCACATTCTGAGTTTTAGATTTGCGTGCTCAGATTGTGTACCCGATTACATAATGTGCGTCAGTTTTTACATTGTGTTTTTCATCTTGGAGCAATAACAGTAAATCTTACACTAAACATACAGAGACATGTTTTATGCTGTGAGGGGTTCAGAATACTAGGGCAGCAAAATAATAATGTGTATGTCCTTTTTAGAAATACATTTGATATCCTGAATACAGAGGAGGACATACTCAACTTGTCTTGGCTCTGCGTTTCAGAAACAAACAATGAATAAACACACACAAACACACACACACAAATCCTCAAAACACATACTTTCACTCCCCGACCTCAACACACAAACTTTCACTACCCACTCTCAACACTCACACTTTCACAACCCATCCTCAACACTCACACTTTCACTCCCCGACCTCAACACTCACACTTTCACTACCCACCCTCAACACACACACTTTCACTCCCCACCCTACCCAAACACACTTACTTTCACTCCCCACCCTCAAAACACACTCACTTTCACTACCCACCCTCAACACTTACACTTTCACAACCCACCCTCAACATTCACACTTTTACAACCCACCCTCAACACACACACTTTTACTACCCACTCTCAACACTCACACTTTCACAACCCACCCTCAACACTCACACTTTTACAACCCACCCTCAACATACACACTTTTACTACCCACCCTCATCACACACACTTTCACTCACCACCCTACCCAAACGCACTCACTTTCACTCCCAACCCTCAAAACACACACACTTTCACTACCCACCCTCAAAGGACACACTTTCACAGCCCATCCTCAACACTCACACTTTCACAACCCACCCTCAACACTCACATTTTTACAACCCACCCTCAACACTCACGCTTTCACAACCCACCCTCAACACTCACACTTTTACTACCCACCCTCAACACTCACACTTTTACAACCCACCCTCAACACACACACTTTTACTACCCACTCTCAACACTCACACTTTTACTACCCACCCTCAACACACATACACTTTCACAACCCACCCTCAACACTCACGCTTTCACAACCCACCCTCAACACTCACACTTTTACTACCCACCCTCAACACTCACACTTTTACAACCCACCCTCAACACACACACTTTTACTACCCACTCTCAACACTCACACTTTTACTACCCACCCTCAACACACATACACTTTCACAACCCACCCTCAACACACACACTTTTACCACCCACTCTCAACACTCACACTTTCACAACCCATCCTCAACACTCACACTTTCACTCCCCGACCTCAACACTCACACTTTCACTACCCACCCTCAACACACACACTTTCACTCCCCACCCTACCCAAACACACTTACTTTCACTCCCCACCCTCAAAACACACTCACTTTCACTACCCACCCTCAACACTTACACTTTCACAACCCACCCTCAACACTCACACTTTCACAACCCACCCTCAACACTCACACTTTCACAACCCACCCTCAACACTCACACTTTTACAACCCATCCTCAACACTCACACTTTCACAACCCACCCTCAACACTCACACTTTTACAACCCACCCTCAACACATACACTTTCACAACCCACCCTCAACATTCACACTTTTACAACCCACCCTCAACACACACACTTTTACTACCCACTCTCAACACTCACACTTTCACAACCCACCCTCAACACTCACACTTTTACAACCCACCCTCAACATACACACTTTTACTACCCACCCTCATCACACACACTTTCACTCACCACCCTACCCAAACGCACTCACTTTCACTCCCAACCCTCAAAACACACACACTTTCACTACCCACCCTCAAAGGACACACTTTCACAGCCCATCCTCAACACTCACACTTTCACAACCCACCCTCAACACTCACATTTTTACAACCCACCCTCAACACTCACGCTTTCACAACCCACCCTCAACACTCACACTTTTACTACCCACCCTCAACACTCACACTTTTACAACCCACCCTCAACACACACACTTTTACTACCCACTCTCAACACTCACACTTTTACTACCCACCCTCAACACACATACACTTTCACAACCCACCCTCAACACACACACTTTTACCACCCACTCTCAACACTCACACTTTCACAACCCACCCTCAACACACACATTTTCACAACCCACCCTCAACACACACACACACTTTCACAACCCGACCTCAACACACACACTTTCACAACCCACCCTCAACACACACACTTTTACTACCCACTCTCAACACTCACACTTTCACAACCCACCCTCAACACTCACACTTTCACAACCCACCCTCAACACACACACTTTCACAACCCACCCTCAACACACACACTTTCACAACCCACCCTCAACACACACACTTTCACTACCCACCCTCAACACTCACACTTTCACAACCCACCCTCAACACACACACTTTCACTACCCCCCCACCAACCCCACCCCCACCCCTTCATCACTCCCACTATCACAAGCCACCCTCAAAACACACCCACTTTCACTCCCCACCCCCAGCACACACACTTTCTCTCCACACCCTCAATACACACCTTAGAGTATAGAGTGTTTATTCAGGAAAATTAGCACGGGGCATGACGTTGTCGTTGAGACACCTTGATTCATGAATTATAACTGTAACTGATGACTATCATCCCGCTGGTACTGTTTACATGTAGACCAAGGCAGCAATGGTCCCGTGGCGGTTCTAGAAGCAGGCACTAGTGGCCCCGTGGCGGTTCTAGTTCTAGAACCAAGCACTAATGGTTCCATGGCGGTTCTAGAACCAGGCACTAATGGTCCCGTGGTGGTTCTAGAACCAGGCACTAATGGTCCCGTGGCGGTTCTAGAACCAGACACAAGTGGTCCCGTGGCGGTTCTAGAACCAGGCACTAAAGGTCCCGTGGCGGTTCTAGAACCAGATACTAGTGATCCCGTGGCGGTTCTAGAACCAGACACATGTGGTCCCGTGGCGGTTCTAGAACCAGGTACTAATGGTTCCGTGGTGGTTCTAGAACCAGGCACTAATGGTTCCGTGGTGGTTCTAGAACCAGACACAAGTGGTCCCGTGACTGTTCTAGAACCAGACACAAGTGGCCCCATGGCGGTTCTAGTACCAGGCACTAATGGTTCCGTGGTAGTTCTAGAACCAGGCACTAATGGTTCCGTGGCGGTTCTAGAACCAGACACATGTGGTCCCGTGGCGGTTCTAGAACCAGGTACTAATGGTTCCGTGGTGGTTCTAGAACCAGGCACTCATGGTTCCGTGGCGGTTCTAGAACCAGGCACTAATGGTCCCGTGGTGGTTCTAGAACCAGGCACTAATGGTCCCCATGGTGGTTCTAGAACCAGACACAAGTGGTCCCGTGGCGGTTCTAGAACCAGATACTAGTGATCCCGTGGCGGTTCTAGAACCAGATACTAGAGATCCCGTGGCGGTTCTAGAACCAGATACTAGTGATCCCGTTGCGGTTCTAGAACCAGATACTAGTGATCCCGTGGCGGTTCTAGAACCAGACACAAGTGGTCCTGTGGCGGTTCTAGAACCAGACACAAGTGATCCCGTGGCGGTTCTAGAACCAGATACTAGTGATCCCGTGGCGGTTCTAGAACCAGATACTAGAGATCCCGTGGCGGTTCTAGAACCAGATACTAATGGTTCCGTGGTAGTTCTAGAACCAGGCACTAATGGTTCCCTGGCGGTTCTAGAACCAGACACATGTGGTCCCGTGGCGGTTCTAGAACCAGGTACTAATGGTTCCGTGGTGGTTCTAGAACCAGGCACTAATGGTTCCGTGGTGGTTCTAGAACCAGGCAATAATGGTCCCGTGGTGGTTCTAGAACCAGATACTAGTGATCCCGTGGCGGTTCTAGAACCAGGTACTAATGGTTCCGTGGTGGTTCTAGAACCAGGCACTAATGGTTCCGTGGCGGTTCTAGAACCAGGCACTAAAGGTCCCGTGGCGGTTCTAGAACCAGATACTAGTGATCCCGTGGGGGTTCTAGAACCAGGCACTAATGGTTCCGTGGTGGTTCTAGAACCAGGCAATAATGGTCCCGTGGTGGTTCTAGAACCAGATACTAGTGATCCCGTGGCGGTTCTAGAACCAGGTACTAATGGTTCCGTGGTGGTTCTAGAACCAGGCACTAATGGTTCCGTGGCGGTTCTAGAACCAGGCACTAAAGGTCCCGTGGCGGTTCTAGAACCAGGTACTAATGGTTCCGTGGTGGTTCTAGAACCAGGCACTAATGGTTCCGTGGTGGTTCTAGAACCAGGCAATAATGGTCCCGTGGTGGTTCTAGAACCAGATACTAGTGATCCCGTGGCGGTTCTAGAACCAGGTACTAATGGTTCCGTGGTGGTTCTAGAACCAGGCACTAATGGTTCCGTGGCGGTTCTAGAACCAGGCACTAATGGTTCCGTGGCGGTTCTAGAACCAGCCAGGCACTAATGGTTCCGTGTTGGTTCTAGAACCAGACACAAGTGATCCCGTGGCGGTTCTAGAACCAGACACAAGTGGCCCCATGGCGGTTCTAGTACCAGGCACTAATGGTTCCGTGGTAGTTCTACAACCAGGCACTAATGGTTCCGTGGCGGTTCTAGAACTAGACACATGTGGTCCCGTGGCGGTTCTAGAACCAGGTACTAATGGTTCCGTGGTGGTTCTAGAACCAGGCACTAATGGTTCCGTGGCGGTTCTAGAACCAGGCACTAATGGTCCCGTGGCGGTTCTAGAACCAGATACTAGAGATCCCGTGGTGGTTCTAGAACCAGATACTAGTGATCCCGTGGCGGTTCTAGAACCAGATACTAGAGATCCTGTGGCGGTTCTAGAACCAGACACAAGTGATCCCGTGGCGGTTCTAGAACCAGATACTAGTGATCCCGTGGCGGTTCTAGAACCAGATACTAGTGATCCCGTGGCGGTTCTAGAACCAGACACAAGTGGTCCTGTGGCGGTTCAGTGGTCTTTATTTCCTTATGTGCGCAGATCGCTAGATAGCGCATTCTGGCATTTTATGGGCGGTTCTTTGCCATTAACAAAGTCGAACCATTTCCACAACCATAGGAAATCTCAACTAAAAGCGGAGTCCATTCTACGATTCTGACACGAGCATGTATTTATGAATCACCATCCAGGACAGGAAGGATGCATATATTTTTACATGGTATTATCAGAGACTATATATACAGAAGTCGGTATGTGGTTTCTGCTATCATACACAAATTTACAAATTCATTCAAGTATAATTATTCTGGGAAAATGAATTAGTATTTTCTAAATATGATGTTGGATGTTTTAGTTTTTCCAATCTTGACTGTTCACCTGCGACCGGAAACAAGCAGGTCCGTCGTGGTCGGGTTTTAGAACATTGTCTTATTTCCGGTCAGTTGCAGAACATGTGGAAAAAAACCAAGACACATACAACCTTTTGATACTATGGAAACAGGTAAATGACATTTCGCAACTTCAAAATATATAGCAATATGTGCATGACATGTACATGCTATCTTCAAAAAACCCAAAGCGAAATATTTTCTTAGGTGTGCCAAGGTTTGCTGATGGTGAGCAGCATGTCAAAGTTGTTAATATCTATGATCTCCCCCCATCCCTACATCCCCCGCCCCCACCCCTCCCCTACCCCAGCTAGATAGCAACCATACAGTTGTACTTGTCAGATACATATACAGCCAAACACCGTTGTATCGAACTTTGATATGTCGAACTTGCGGTTGTCTCGAAGCAAAAGTTTGGTCACGCTTATTCCTTCTTTATTCATTATTTTCGGTTGTGTCGAACCTCGGATAACTCGAAGTAATTACGTAGGTCCCTTCAACTTCGACACATCGGTGTTTGACTGTCTTCAATCATACGTGCTGGAACATACAATTATAGACCCCCTTTATCAGTGTATCAACAGTATCGAATCTGTTCCTTTTTTGCACAGCTTGCATGAAAAAGGACAAAACGCCAATTGACAATAAGATCAGTGAAATAATTATGAAATATTCATGACGCCAATAGTTCATTCTTCTCTGGTTGGAATTGTTATGTTTTAATCAATTATACAACTCGGTTGTTGCAGGCTCACCGAAGAGCACTGAAATATGTATATGACAGCACATGATACCACGGCCCGTGGGGAAGTTAAAACAACAACGTTTTTGCGACCAGACCCGTCGTCCATGGAAACAAAACAGTTATCAAGAAAAGCACATTCTTCACCATGCACCACATGGGATTCAAACCCGGAATTACTAATGACATCGGCGAGTGTTATGTAAACACTGTGTCGTCATATTGGTGAAATATACATCACCTGACGCATCGACTTCGTTCATGGAGATGTTTAAACGTTGTAATTTGAAGAGAAGACTGTTTGGTTTCATGGAGTTGTTTTTCAATGCCCATCTCTAAGCTGGTTGAATTAATAAGTACGTGCTTTATTCAAGAAAACATTGAAACAGCGGCCTTCTCTATTGAAAACAGATTTTTGTGGAGGAGGCCTTTTTTGTGACAAAAGACGCAGTTGAGACCGTGATATAGCTGTTTTAACATTTATGGTTGACTGGAAATTATATTCGTTAATTCTGCTCTATTTTTAAAAGGAAATTTGTTCCGGAAAATATTTAAATAAAAAATGGCATAATCCTTTTACACAAGGAGTAATGTGGTGTCGATATAAATAGATTTTTCATTGTAAAAGCATGTATGTCTTGAAGCCCCATCTACTGCCTGAAACAATCCATACATATATATTAGATATAGGTATGAGGATGAGATACTGATACGACCTAGGAATAGTGAGATACTCATACGATATGAATAGTGAGATACTTATACGATCTAGGAATAGTGGGATACTGATACGATTTGAAACGTGAGATACTTATACGACCTAGGAATAGTGAGCGACTGATACGATCTAGGAATAGTGGGATACTAATACGATATGAATAGTGGGATACTGATACGATCTAGGAATAGTGGGATACTGATACGATATGAATAGTGGGATACTGATACGATCTAGGAATAGTGAGATACTCATACGATATGAATAGTGGGATACTGATACGATCTAGGAATAGTGGGATACTGATACGATATGAAACGTGAGATACTTATACGACCTAGGAATAGTGGGATACTGATACGATCTAGGAATAGTGGGATACTGATACGATATGAAACGTCAGATACTTATACGACCTAGGAATAGTGAGCGACTGATACGATCTAGGAATAGTGGGATACTAATACGATATGAAACGTCAGATACTTATACGACCTAGGAATAGTGAGCGACTGATACGATATGAACACACACACACACACACACACACACACACACACACACACACACACACACACACACACACACACACACACACACACACACACACACACACTTTAAATTTGATATAACTGACTTATTGTACAAAACCCACTCACACATCCTATTGATTTTGTTTACGAAACAACCCTCCCGGTTTACACAGAGTGACTGAAATGTGAAAACTTGAAACCACTTGAGACGCTAAACCACAAGCTTTCCAACAAATAATCGTAAATTGCTTTTTTTGGTGATTTTTTGCGCTGTTTTTGTGTGTGTGTGTGTTGTTTTGTTGTTGTTGTTTTTTTTTTTGGGGGGGGGGGGGGTTGATAGATTGAAACTGTCTGTTGTGTTTCCTCGTCGTTGTTGGGTAAGTATCATGAACATGCGGTGTTAGTCCTATATGCCTATTCATATAATGATGCCTCATCATTGACAGGCAACCTATTGACGCCTGGTCCTCATGATGGACGGGCAACCTATTGACGCCTGGTGCCTCATCATGGAGAGGCAACCTATTGACGCCTGGTGCCTCATCATGGAGAGGCAACCTATTGACGCCTGGTGCCTCATCATGGAGAGGCAACCTATTGACGCCTGGCCCTCACCATGGACAGGCAACCTATTGACGCCTGGTCCTCATCATGGGCAGGCAACCTATTGACGCCTGGTGCTCATCATGGACGGGCAACCTATTGACGCCTGGTCCTCATGATGGACGGGCAACCTATTGACGCCTGGTCCTCATGATGGACGGGCAACCTATTGACGCCTGGTCCTCATGATGGACGGGCAACCTATTGACGCCTGGTCCTCATGATGGACGGGCAACCTATTGACGCCTGGTGCCTCATCATGGAGAGGCAACCTATTGACGCCTGGTGCCTCATCATGGAGAGGCAACCTATTGACGCCTGGTCCTCATCATGGGCAGGCAACCTATTAGTGCCTGGTGCCTCATCATGGAGCGGCAACCTATTGACGCCTGGTCCTCATGATGGACGGGCAACCTATTGACGCCTGGCCCTCATCATGGACAGGCAACCTATTGACGCCTGGTGCCTCATCATGGCGAGGCAACCTATTGACGCCTGATGCCTCATCATGGAGAGGCAACCTATTGACGCCTGGTGCCTCATCAAGGAGAGGCAACCTATTGACGCCTGGTCCTCATCATGGAGAGGCAACATATTGACGCCTGGTGCCTCATCATGGCGAGGCAACCTATTGACGCCTGGTCCTCATCATGGGCAGGCAACCTATTGACGCCTGGTGCCTCATCATTGAGAGGCAACCTATTGACGCCTGGTGCCTCATCATGGAGAGGCAACCTATTGACGCCTGGTGCCTCATCATGGAGAGGCAACCTATTGACGCCTGGTCCTCATCATGGGCAGGCAACCTATTAGTGCCTGGTGCCTCATCATGGAGAGGCAACCTATTGACGCCTGGTCCTCATGATGGACGGGCAACCTATTGACGCCTGGCCCTCATCATGGGCAGGCAACCTATTGACGCCTGGTGCCTCATCATGGCGAGGCAACCTATTGACGCCTGATGCCTCATCATGGAGAGGCAACCTATTGACGCCTGGTGCCTCATCAAGGAGAGGCAACCTATTGACGCCTGGTCCTCATCATGGAGAGGCAACATATTGACGCCTGGTGCCTCATCATGGCGAGGCAACCTATTGACGCCTGGTCCTCATCATGGGCAGGCAACCTATTGACGCCTGGTGCCTCATCATTGAGAGGCAACCTATTGACACATGGTGCCTCATCATGGACAGGCAAACTATTGACGCCTGGTCCTCATCATGGGCAGGCAACCTATTGACGCCTGGGGCCTAATCATGGACGGGCAACCTATTGACGCCTGGTCCTCATCATGGACAGGCAACCTATTGACGCCTGGTCCTCATCATGGACAGGCAACCTATTGACGCCTGGTGCCTCATCATGGACAGGGAACCTATTGACGCCTGGTCCTCATCATGGACAGGCAACCTATTGACACCTGATGCCTCATCATGGACAGGCAACCTATTGACACCTGATGCCTCATCATGGACGGGCAACCTATTGACACCTGGTGCCTCATCATGGACGGGCAACCTGGACACCTGGACCAGGATGATGTTGGATAAATAACGAACGCTTCCGGTGGACACGATTTCGCACTCAGCAGCTCGTCCAGCAGATGCCTGCGTTGATTATGCGTGTTCCTGTGTCATTATACTTCTGAAAAAATCAGAAATTGGATATTATCATTTCACTTAGCCACAATACATTTATACTATTGTCAGGAACAACAGTATGGATTAGAGGTGATGGGTAGTGCAATGAAATGACCGGACCGTGCCTATTGGTTTTTCTTTGACCAGTAGCCAGTTCGGGAGTAGTATTGGGAATGAACCCAGCATCCGATGGGCACTGAGTCCGAACGGATGGTAGTGTCGCGTCAGTGTACTTGATGGTGTTCAACACTCATTAAACACATATAAGAATCAACTCGTTTACTTTTCGCGTGTTTTTCAGCGGAAATTTGCAACATGAGAAATTGGCATGGCCAATTATTTTTGTCGCCCCATACTGAAATATACTTGTCCGGAGGAGTCATGTGCTAAAAAAATACTAAACGAAATATGTAAAAACGATATTAGTAGCGGCGCGACATGTGTGTCCGTTTAATTTGACTCTGGGGTGAGGCCCTCTCATAACAATGATTCTTGCTACCACAAGTGTTTGCGAATCAGCCCGTGGGCAAAGACGGCAGGGAAGGGGAAAGCGGACGGTCATTCGAGCGAGATTCCGGCTGGGGGGAAAATACCGATCCTGTCTTTTTATTACGGGTTTACCAATCCCGGTTTACCATAGTCAGCTGGCATTTGCAACATCAAAGACCAACGCAGCGGGAAGATCGGACATGTTCGGCTAAGTCGGAGAATGAAATACCCACTTCTCCCTGTAAACTCTCTGACATCTTTATTTGGCCCATAAAAAACACCCCCTCTGATTGGACAAAGTTCGAGCTTTGCTCCTGTTCTGCTGAAACAGCTTTTCTGATTGGCCAGGAGTGCATGGCGTTCGTAAATGTGTTAAAATCATCAGTGTTAGTTGGGTTAACGTTTCCTTCCAAGATGGCGGTTTCATCAACATCTCGGCGGTGATCTCGTGAACGGCGCGAGATCTGTGATCCCGATCGCTCCACGTGTCAGAAGCGTCAAGCATCATTACAAAATGTCGTATTAATTTTCCAAGAGCCGTGTTGAGGGCTCAATTATTCATGTTAAACATTTTTACGGCCGACCAAATACAAGCCGAGCATGGCGGGTTCATAGAGGAAAGCAGATCTATGTTGGAAGGGCCGGAAAAGCAATTTCTCCAAACTCAATGAAACTATTTCCCCCAAGCTCGTAAATTAATAAAGACATTTTCGCCTCAATTTGACGCTGTTTACTTTTTTCAAAGAAATTTCATCTCGGCTATCAGTTAACTTAACACAGCAATTTGCAGCGCAACGTAACATCCACTGGTTCTCGGATGAATAATCACACCGTTAACATATATCGGGTTTGTTTTCTTTAACTTTGCCTACGTTCACATATACAGTGTGGTAATTATGGGTTTCCCTATCAGTAACGCCGAAATGGAAGATGTAAGGGAGAAGTTTTACCATCTAAAGAGTCCTGTTGAATAACATTGCCACAAAAAAGACTGAAAATCACGAGATCACGATGAAATATGTACCTTTTTAACTTTGTAAATAATGCGTCTGATATACCAATTTAACAAAAGATCTACATGTATATGTATTGTACAGGTCTATTTCGAGGCGTAAGATCTAAACGTTGGCCTATACAAATATTGACGGTAAGATGTAAAAAAGGGAAGCTTTTTTTAAAACAAACTCTTTTTGATATATTGAACAACTTATGTTTTGAAATGGATTTAAATATGAAAATACATCAGAAGAAAAATTGAAAAACACACCACATTGTTGAAATAAGTGTGATGATATGACATTATCAGCTTTTGTGTCTGTTTAGATAAATTCCGCACAAATCAAAACTGAATAAACCTCGTGAACGCATAATATAAATTTATACTATTAAAATGAATGAATGAATGAGATAAAGTTAGGTTATCAAGATTTTTAATTGGGGGTTGACGTTCATGTATTTACCCCAAGTGTGAGTTCATTTGTCAACATCAAGGGGTCATTAGCTGGACACACTGAGATGTATTTGTGAGTACAAGCAAATCATTAATTTAGCCATGATTTTGAAGAGACCCACTTGAACCCAGTTTTCTCTTTAAGTTCGTATTTATTTCCGCTAAAGTGATTTTCACACAGCGAAATTTCACCTCTTAACTACAAACAGGAAATAGATTGACATGCTCAAACAATTTCCATGAAAACCACCTAGGTATGCAGGGAACGCTATGTAATGTCCAGCAGACTGACCATTGACCATTCCATCAACATCCGATATCCTGCTTAACAAAGCTTCCGGATGCTATTTGGCGGCCATATTGTTTTTATCATATCTACAGATTTACACCGGCGTAACGCTTCTGCCCTTTCTCCCCGGAACCAAACACCCTGGCTCTCCTTGGCCGTCGGGCTTCCAGATTCGCAAACCTCATGCGCCGTGTTTGTATTAAATAGTTCCACAATTTGGACAGCAGTTGGAAAAACAGCAGAAATGTATTGTAAATTGTGCTAAGGATGAATCCGGTTTCACAAACATATGTTATGCGCTTCTGAAATCGACAAGAGAAATTGCTTCCACCCTTACACTAGGCGGCGAGGGTAAATGTTTGATTTTCCTACCAAATCGAGGTCGCAAGGGTCGGGTCTCATATGCATATGAAAAACAAACATTTGGTCACGATGACAGGAATGTATTTTAGAGGGATGAGTTTGACATATTGTTCCACGATTTTCTCATATCTCTTACGCGAGATCTTTTAAAAGAAACGTATGGCTCCAGCCTTTGTTTGTTTGGAATCATTTTGATATTGGATATCGGTGTGAATAGTTTTAAGGTTATATCAACTCCATATTTCATAGTTTACAAGTTTTACACAAATAACAAAATTCACCAAACATGTCAGTTTTTTAGACTGCGGTAATACAATAGGAATAAAACAAGAAAAAAACCAGTAAAACAATACTCTTTTGTAGTAATGTGTAAAACATGAGTTTTGGAATCAATGCAAAATATTCAAATGGTTTCTCTGCGAATCTCGCTTTAGTTCACGTGACAGAGTCAACCTTACAGCTTCTGACATTTTTCTTCGGGGCGCAACTGTTGTCTTTTAAAGTTAAAAAATGAGCCCCATTGTATAAGTGTATACAGGAGGAAGGGTGTCTGTTGACATTTTAATTGGGTTGTTCTATTCATGCGGTCTGTTTTAAGTTTTAGGGACACTTTCTTATTATGTAACGTTCTTGTGTCATA